CATTGGCAAAACTGGTCTACAACCTACTCTTTAGATACAATGACTTCTACAACTATCAGAAACGGGGGCTCTTCAATTTCTTATATATGGCATATTTAAGGACAAAGTCTATGTCATGTGACTTTCGATTGTCGTCTGTGGAGAAAAAAACTCTACAAAAACGCCATGCGATCACAATTTGTGATCAATTCAGGCTTTTGGGCAATGCTCTATGAATCCAACACAAGATGACGCACGCAGGGCGTTTAAATGCCTCGTTTAAATGTAATGATTTGTATCTGTGTGGTAAAAAACAGACCTTGATAATTGAAAAATAGTTGCAAGAGTGTTATCATTTAAACTTGCCTGAAAAGGTGCCCCTTCTCACACCTTTAAACGCACAAATGCACAGAAGACAGCTTCAGCACAGGACACCCAACAATAGCCTCGCCATATTTGGAAGGAGGGGTCACGTGACACCAAAGAAAGCATGACAGCAAAGCAAATGTCCTCTTCCACAATATATACGACTTTTATTTAAATAAACACTCAAAAATGGTATTTTAGAAGGATTTCCACTAACAGCCTCGTTTTCATGTAGGCCATTTTAGGGCCTGCGCAGTATTCGTGTCCGGTGTTGAATTTGGCTTGGCTCCATATCCAAAAATGTTAGTATTAGGGTTGGTTGTAATCTGGCAGAGTTTCAGGCTTTTATCATAAAAGTGAACAATTTTGGTCGATAACAGCTGGACTAAAACGAGGCCTTGGCGGCTTAAAATATTGGCGCTTTGCCCGGAACACCCTAAGCGAGACCAAAATCCAAAATTTACACCCCTAAGGGAGACTACGAGCATCCCGTCTATTTCATATGGGAGTCCCCCCCCCCGGGACTTCAGCTGACTGGATAGACTTCTTCCATCAAGAATCTGAAGCAAAGGTAAGCTTCTTATTCACCGAGAACAGATAAAACGGTAAATGACTTGTTTTTGTTGTGCGTCAAACCTTTTTAAACAGCTTGAATATTACAATTATGCACCGCTGTGAAATTCACGCTGAAATTGCGGAAGGGACTCTGTATTCTACTTTGCCTTTCCTGTATTTGCTTTGTATCCCGAGGTAGTGATATTTATTTTCATTACTTAGAGAGCTTGGATCAACTTCTGATCTAGAGAATTCTATTAAAAGCATTGTTTACTGTTCAGTGGAGGTAATTACAAGACGACGGCGTCCGCCATCATCAGTAACATGAATGACCATCCCTGTTAACATGTGTTAATATATCTCTTTCTATTCACAAATACTTAAAGAAGCTTAATTACTTTCTTTTAGACGCCGGAGACGAATTCAGGTGTCAAAAGAGCCAATTTTATGGAACTTTTAACCTGTACAATCGAGACGTCTAAAACGGCCAATAATTAGTATGCAAATATGCAAAATGGCAGATTACAATCTACTGTTGGTTGCAATCCCAGAAGATACCCCCAAGTCTGAGTCAATAAACCAAAAAAATAAGCTTAAGACTTTACTTTGATATGATTTTTATAACAGTTTGAGGCCGCAACTTTTGAGATATTTCCCTCAAATCTTCCTTACTTTCAAGACTGCTAAATAGGTAGTCTTTGAACCACTGTAACTTGAACATGTTTTGATCAAAGATATTTTTATTTAGCCTGTGAACTATTAAAGGTTAACTAAGAAAACTGAATTGAACAGATTTTTTTGTGTGGTCATTCGTTTGTTTGCAACGCACTTTTCAAATTCCGTCAATTTTAGTCTTTGAAACACTCTCTGAGAGGCCGAGACGTACTCAATTCGTTTTTGGCTTGTAGCAGAGCTAAGAATAAGAATTTGAAAACAAAAATAGCGATTTTAGTATATACCTACTAAAGCCTTTTCACCGACAAAAAATAAAGGAAAACTATTTTTGTCGCGAAATCGAGTGGACCGCTTTTAGGGAGACTGCCTCTTAAAACGTATACTACAAGATTCCTGTATGTTTTACCACCGATAAATTACCATTTATGGAGAACCAATGGGTCACCAATCTTTTACCGTGTTTATATTCATGAGAATGTTAGATTGAGTTTAAAAGTGCTGCTTTTCAAACTTTGCCTCAAGATTTACGTCTCAGTCCGTGAATTCACGTTTCACCGTATCCCGTGCCCGGTATAAAGTATCCATTGTGACAGGTTCTACTTTTAGCCGCAAGCAAGGAAACTGACACAAATGTGTTTTTTCTGTTCCACACCTTAATAAATTGAGATTGGAATAGGCAAAACTGAGTTTTTACAGGCTACATTTGTTAATGAAAAGATAAATGAATTTAACTTACCAACAGACTGATGCAAACCACAGATCTGGTAGTCTCCCTCCAATGCAAAAAGCTATGAAATATCAAAGCACCTGCTAAACTATTTGTTATCTTAACAGCACAATGTATGTGGTGGCTTGAACATTTCATTTCCCACAGCTGGATGAATTATTTTATGCAAATCCACCATAAATTATGGAGCTTATTTGTAAATAATGAAGTAAGAACTAAAAATCGAAAACCCTCCAAACGCTCTTGGCTTTTTATTTCTCGTTGAGCTGAGTTATTCCCTTATGCTTATTTCTTACTTTGTTCTCAGCAAAATCAAGAGAGAAAATTATCCAAGAGAGCGAATCCACCATACATGACCCTCTTTCAATGAAAATTATTTTCAATCTATTCTTGGTTCTGTGTCATACTGCGTGGTTATTTTAAGGACGCCACCTTATTGGCCGGTTTGAGTGGCATAATGTAATTTTAAACTTGGCGGGTAATTCATTTCACTGCCGATCACGCACAGCAAGCGATATGACATGCCAACTTGGTATTACTTTTGCCGACGAGTCAAAAGATCAATGTAACCCTTACTTTAACGTGCAAAGAAACTGCACAACCTCAAAAATAAAATAAAGTCAATAAAGAAATGATAAAGATTAAAAAGAAGAAAAAAAAAGAACGTGGGTAGTAAACTGAGTCTGTATTCATTATATTGATTCATTCAAATCACGTGAGAATTACATCATGACTATCACCGTCCACCATGATCACCATCTTGTATCTAACTCTCGGCTGCCATCTTGAATTCGGCCGAAAAAAAGGTTAAAATTATAAAACTATAAAGAAAACCATTCTATCTCGATCCAACATGTACTATCTTGGTTTCAAATGGACTGACGTGGCGAGCTCTTTAGTAGATTTAATACTCTCACCAAGTTAGACTCCGCATATTTGAAGACAAGATGGTCGCTTGTGACGGTACAGATGTTAGGTGCCGGTAGGTGCTCGATTCCAATGATCTTATGGCCTGTTCCAAGCGTTCAGATAGTGGAGAGCGGTGCGAAGTAAAGAAACCAAAGCGTTCAGATAGTGGAGAGCGGCGCGAAGTAAAGAAGCTTTTATTTTTTCGCGCTCCTTTTTACTTCGCACCGCTCTCCACTATCTGAACGCCTGGAACAGGCTCATGATCTTACGAAGAAAAATAGAGGACTGTGAACAGCTTATCGGAAATGTCTTGTGGATTTTTTAACTATAGTAATTAAGGCCTTACAAGGCTTAGTCAAAGTGGCATCGCCAACCTGGGAGACAATAACTATAATCAAAAATTGAAGTTAATCACCTCCCTTATAATAGAGAGTTTTTTCTTTTGTTCCAATAAAATTGCATAGATGCTGGTCACGTGAGTGAAAATTAACGCTCAATACTGCCTAGCTCTGTTTTTTCTTCTCACTATTGTTTTATGTTAAAGTTATTTGAATAACTAGTTGATTAAATGAAATTGACCTTGAAACTTATGAGAGTATTTTTTTATTTGTTTGTTTCTGCTCTATTTTCTTCTCGTTTACCTTTTCAGTGTCATTTGCATAAGCGGTTGTTTTTAAAGCAAAAAAATACGCTTGGCAAATGGCATTAATCAAATTTTACTACCTGAACACTTCTTAAACACTTTTTGAATGATCCAATTTAGTTAAGAAAGTAGATAATTTTTTTTGAATATATCTTAGTCTCAGTATAAACTATGTTGGAAACTACGTTTCTTATCCACCACCTTCACCCACCGGCGACATCTGCTTCATCCTCTATCCGCTTAATCTCTTCCCTCAATTTAGTTAATGGAAGATTTTGTACGGAGCATATAATCGTTTCTTTATTGCAAAATTTTACCGGTCCAGGTGGAAATATTCAAACAAAAAGATAAATTATTTATAGCACCATTAGTGCCATTTAGTTATCATCAAACAATAAAACAAATAAGTTATCATCATCAGTGCAAAGTAGTGACAAACAATAAGACAAATTGTATATTAACATCATTAGTGAAGAGGAGGACGGATTTAAATGTGCCTTACTCTTTTCTTAGAGATGCTTCTAACATCTTTTTCACGAAACGAGCTAGGGTCCTAGCCGTCAATTTGCTTTGAATCAACATAATTTCTAAATCCCTACCGATGTTTTCAAAGCAGAGAGAAAAATTCGCTTGGTAAATATTTAACATATTTTGGCCTTGCCATCATTGTATCATAACACAAGCATCATCATCTCTCTCTCTCTCTCTATTTCACTTAAAACATATCTAGGATAATTCATCGTGGATCTTGCGAAGAAATGCTTGGAACTCAGTTTGCTTTTGGAGTGAAACAACATAAGTGAAATTTGAAAACGTAAGTAGTAGTTCAAACTGTTTTGTCATAGTTTAGTTGGGGATACATTAAAGTACTATAAATACAGGGCCGATGCTTTTGTAAGTTCTTCTGAAGAGAAAGTTCTTTAATTATAACAGTTGTCGTGCATACGAAACAACAAAAAATTGAAAGGAAACTTCAACGTGTTCTAACAAAACTATATATTTTCACAGGCAGAGAACATCTTCAGCACTAGAATGGTCATTGACAGCGAAATCACAGCGTCATTTGGGAATATCTCAACTTCCAAAAGTGCAGTCTACACTTTTACACCAGCGGGACTTACAACAAAACTTGCACTGGTTTTACCGATGCTAGTTGTTGGTGTGGTGGGGTTTATAGGAAATGTCTTAGTCGTCTCCTTTGTGTCCTGGAAAGAAAAAACACTAAGCCGCATCGAAAGAAGCCGCTTTGTAAAAACGTTTAATTTGTTTGTGAGAAGCTTAGCTATTTCTGACATCCTCTCCACTTCAGTGTCACTGCCACTAACCTGCATTCAGATTTGCTTCGATGTTTTTCAGACTGACTGGACATGTAAGGCAGTTCGCTTTGTCAACATTGTATTCCCCATTATTACTATTCACAACCTAATAGTGATAAGCATCGAGAAATATGTTTCATTGAGGCGAGTGCCTCGGCCCTTAAGTTCATCAACTGTTCGCAGATCAATTTTCCTGGCCTGGTTTCTTGGGTGTATAAGTACTCTCAGTGCCGCTGCAACTTTTAGGGGAATAAGGTATGATCTGAATGAAACGCACTTCACAGTCATTTGTAAGTATGATAAAGAATATTTTCCATTTCGACTCATTTTTCTTTCATTCACTGCAATCGAGTATATTTTTCCCTGCATATTTCTCATGATCATAAATATCTCGTTAATTAAAACTGTTTGGGTGACAGTCAAAACCAGGGTTTCCATTGACTTAAATTACCCAATGAGGAGTAAATTGCGAGCTGCAAAAATCCGGGGAACCCTTCTTCTTATTGTAATTACGTTTGCTTTCATTATTCCCTATTTTTTTTCTACTTTGGCTACGTGACATATAACATGATCGCCAAACCAGATATAACCTTCAAACCGATTACATAATTCGCTACGGGAGCGGCGTGATTGCCTTCGCAAACAGCGCAATTAATTTTTTAATTTACGTTGTACAAATGAGGGATTTCAAAGTATTCTTTCAAAAACGCTTCTTTGGTGGTAATACTGCGGCTGATAAAAATGTCTCTGTTTTACAGCAGATGCAAAGTTTTAATAAAATGCACAACCTTAGGCCACGAAATGCTCTATGTGTCACAGTAATACCAGTGACATCAGTTGGTAAAAAGTAATTAAGAAAATCTAGCAAAAAGAATTAGAAGTTGTTCTTCCTTAAAATACGTAAATAAAAGTAATTTATTCTGTTTATTCTCTCTTGGATGGATAGGCGAAATAAACAAGGCACTCACGTTAACTAGCTGTGTGCCTTTTGTGTGAATTAAGTGGAATAAATAGACTTGATTATTTAAAAGAGAGAGCAGTTTTCGTTTTACTTTTTACCCACTAACTTGAATTCTGTTTTCTTAGGTAATGGATTCACCTGTTTTTGTGCACTGTAAGCATAGCAAAATTGTAAACTGAGCAATTAAGTTGATTGGTCTGATTTCATGAGGTATTGCAAAACATTTTCATGCAGAATCATTACGATCAATGCTATATTTCAATACCAGCAAGCGGAATCTCTGAACATTAAAAGATGAATTCTATCCCAACTTTCTAATTGACAATGAAACTGTAAAACACCTATTCAATATGTATAAGCAGAATAGCGCCTGTCTACAGCCGTCCACGCCCCTCAATTAATTGCAAAATCGGGGATGGGGCGGTTGTACACAGGCTATACGAACACAATGGTATGCGTATATGTTTCCTGAAGCAAAATTATCATAACTAATATACCGTTAGAGAGATATATAATTACCGGTCCTTTACGACAAGAAGTGTGACTACGTGATGAGAACAAACACAATCACCTGGCACACTTCACTTACACCCCACGATTATTTAATTACTTTCCTGGGCAGCTGCTTGTAAAGTAAGATATGCCTTCCTCGCTAGTATAGCGGCCCAGTCCCTTTTCAATGGATTCATGTCCTTTGAAATTTTTTGCGTTGTACACAGGTCCAAATGCACGACACAAAGTCATTTTTGACTCCTAAATCTGACCTGGTGGCTATTTTCCCAGAACTCGGACAAGTGAACCTGCTCACAGGCTTTTTGTTTTGTGCGTGTAAGGATAATTTATCATCGCGAGAACCTCCAATAAAAGCTAAAATATAATGCAGAAGACTGAGTACTCAGGGACTAGTTATGTAGCATTTCTGACCAAAATGGTGCCCCTTCTGATAAGTTAACATACATAATTCCGTCTACCTACATAAGCAGCGTAGTTAACGACGGAGTGACGTTTTAACGGATGACCCTTTTATCAAAATACCTCAACAGCAGTTTTCCGAACCACACACCCAAACTTGTAAAAATCCTCTGTTTTGGCAGAAGTGAAAGAGACATCCCAGGATAGACCGTTCTAGGGAATATCGCCCCTCGCAGTTCGGGCAAATAGAATCATGGCCAAAAGGTTCTGGGACACCTCCTCTTTTTCAGGTGTTTTTGTACGGAATTTGACGCTGGGGGTTTTGAAGCTAACCCGGCAAAACACACTCATAAACACCGCCTTAACAAGATTTTTGCCCATTCCCTCGGAACAAAGTTGACTTGTAACACCCAACACTGTCCAGGTGGAAGAGGGTCAACTTGAATTGTATTTTCCTCACCTGAAACACAAGGTGTCTCTAACCTTCTGACCACAGGAAGAACACGAGTGACATCACAGTGACCCTCTAGCCGCGCGTAAAATGCCGGTGGTCAGACATTTATTAAGTACCTTTACTGAAAACCGCTGTATGTCAGACGCATGAGATTGAGCCGGTGTCTCCTGTCTGCCACGGGCATGGAAGGTAAATTATGGTGCCAGTGACGTCAGAGTAGAAGAAATAAGGGTCTTCACTAGATACGCAGGAATAGACTCGTTTAGTTTATCGCAAAAACTAATGCTGGTGCAATTGATAACCAAACAACAAGATAGATTTCAATCGAAATAATTTATCATATATTAAGGGAATTAAATTTACAACTAAATCTTATCGAACAAAAAACAAAAAGTACACCGTTATTTCTATAACGTTTTTCGATATGATTGGTTTACCTCAACTGATCGCCTAGCATCATCAATAGTCTCAAGTTCTATCAGTCCCGCCTTAATATAACGCAGGACTGCCCTAATGTCGTGAAAAAACTCCTAGTTATAGCTTCCCGTTATTCACCATTGTTCAGCGTAATATTTTACGCCTGTGGCCATAAAGTTCGAATTTTATGCAGTCACGGTATAGACTGCAGGCTTCCGTCTTTCATTCAGTTTTGCACACACACACTCGTGACGAATAAGAGAGAGTGTGCGAACTGTAGGAGAAATTAGAAAAGGGCAACAGAAAATGCATCGTGCCTTTTTTCTCAGTCTACAAGTTTGCAGTTTTTGAGCTACTTGGTAAGGCCGTCGACAAAATCGAGAGAAAATACATTGTCATATAATAATTATCGCCTCCGAGAAAAGCAGTTTGGGCAACCGCAAAGAAAGATAAAAGTAATGAAGGGAGAAGGTATTCAAAAGACCTGAAAATTTAAGAAAAATTTCCAGATCACGATATTTGTTAAAAAATTACACATTTCACAAGTTTATTTTTTTCTTTCCAAAAGAACCTGGGATTTCTCACATTTCAACAGCTTACCAAGCGATGGATTTTTACACTTATTGGAACTTTTCATCCTCTACTAAATGCTATAACCTCAACAGAAGACCTCTCGTTCCAGTTCCTCGAGGCTTAATTCACTCAGTTCCTTGTAAATCTTGCTAGACTTTCGCACTATGTCTTGATTGGAGCTTTGCCCTTGAGGTCTGTTTTCATTTTCTGCAAAAAAGTGTAAACTAAGTAAACCTTGGTGGATAAAAAAGGGTAAATAAGGAGAAAAACTGACGTCAACGCCAAAGTTCTTTAAGAAGCCTTTTCGATGATAAACACAGGGTTACGTTTCTCTATGCCACTGAGAATAACCGACCCCGACTCCAAGAAGTCTGCTCTCACTTAAGACTTATATCCTATAGAATGAAATAATTGGTGGAAATTCGTGAGACCAAGTTCACTTAATTTTGGTACAATAAAAAACCTCTGGCAACCAAGGTAAAATAGCGAGTAACAGTTATTGATGTAATACAAGTGACATACGATGAACTGAAAGAGACCTATGGCGAATTTATTGCCCCATGAAAGGGGATTCAAGGCAGTCTTGAAATTCTGGATTCCACGCCATGGATTCTGGATTCCAGGTACTGGATTCCGGATTCTTTGCCAGTGGGAGTTAAATTCCAGATTCCAATTGGTAGTGGGGTTCCGGATTCCAAATCCCAGGATTCCCGATTACACGACACGAATTTCCTGGATTCCGGATTCAACAAAATAAATTTCCTAGATTCTGGATTCCACAAGCAAAATTTTCCCGTATTCCAGATTCCCTTATATGGGGCGATATTTACGTGTGTGGTATTCCCACAGTATGATCATTCTTCCTCTCTTTTTATGCCGATGTCTCGACAGTTCTTACCTACACTTATCCCACTTTTGTTGGGTGGATTATGGTGCTCCACAGCATGGAAACTTCTGAAACGTTCTGTATTTGGTGTTCCATGAGGGGAAACCAGAACAGTTTCTGGTAAGGAGAAAGTAAAATCAGATTCCGAATAGCTCTGAATTCCACCTAGCTGTTCCCCGGCTAGATCCACGGACTGCCTGTGAAACGGCAAGTCAGCTGTCTGATAACCCAAATTGTCAAACTCGTAAAATGGATTCGCGTTTGAAGTTGAACCATTGGCAAATGACCAAGAACGCAACTTTGTGCGTGAAAACGAGGTGGCAAAAGTTCTTTCTATAAAGGAACGACTCCTTGAAAATGGAAGGGAAGATCTCGATGTGAAGCGGTCGGGCAAAACAGTTGTCTTTATACCAGAGTTTGTATTAACTGGAAAATGTGTGACTTGAAGAGTCTGAGGCCCTGTCTCCTCAAGGGGGCCTGGTGACGAGAAACAATCGGCTCTTTTTTCCGTAGACTTTGCTTCTGGACTTAATTCCAATGCATTTTCCCCTTCAAAGTCTTTAGGTAATGGCTCTGATGTTACATCTATAGCGCTAAGGGACAACTGGTTGCAGTCCGTCAGAACATCTGCTTTAGATGGCTTTACATCCTGTTTAGCTTTCTCTGTCACTGCAAAATTTTGTTTTACGTTTTCACCATTGTCACCTTGTGAATCGCGAGATAACTGACTGTTCTCTAAAGAGTTATCGTTAAACAATTCTGGTGTCTTGCACATGAACGGATAAACTAGAGAAAAGAACAAGAAAGAAAAATAAGTGAACAAAGACGTTTAAGTATAGTTATAGCCTAGTAAATATACAGACAGAGCCCGTTAATACGGACAGTGAGGTGGCCATAGAAAGTGTCCGTATTAACGGGGTGTCCCTATAAAAGGAGTTTGAATTTAGAGAAACTGGAAGGGCTTTCTTTCCTCAGGCACAAAGCAAACTGTTCGTAATAATAAGGTGTCCACAAAGCGGAGTTTAACTGTACTCCCATGTAAGAAAGCTAAATAGACTTGTCTAGTGTTTTAAATTAATTTTCTTAGCCCTTTCACCTGTAGGTTTTTGAAAGGGAGAAACTTGCGTGCCCTTGACAAATACATGGACATTCTGGGTTGAAGATAACACCTTTCGGACCCAGTCTACCGGCTTTTATTCCCCTCTAGCCTCACACTACGTCCATTCCCAAATAAGGCGTTGAACGGGCTATTATGTCAGAGTATCATACCTGAGACAGCGATTTTTCTCTTTCGTTTGCTTGAACTGGATCGTGTGTCGCCGCAACAAGATTCATCTTCAAAAGCTGCGTCCATCT